GGGAGTTTCCACGGAGACCGGACAGCTGGCGGTCCGCCGCGGGGAAAGAGGCCGAAGGAAGCGCAGCCAGAGCCGCGCAGCCAGCCTCGGGCAGGGGGGTGGGGCCCTCCCCAGCCGTTCCCAGGTTTCCGCAATAGCCACAGCCTGCGGGACTGCCCCGTAGTTTTAAATACAGTGTGTCTCCCAAAAAAGAACAAAAAAGAAAAAAATATATAAAAAGAAAATAAAACAATGAATGTGTCGTAAGTGAAAACAAAGTAAGGATAAAAACCCACAAATTCCATCCCCAAACTTGTTTAGCTGGTAAGAAAAGCAGATCCAGCTGCTCAATCTGCCCGGCTTTACCTTTTCAAAGCAACCAGCCAGGAAAGATGAGGTTGCCGCGGGGTCAAGTAACTGAAAGCCTGGGGTTCAGCCAGGCTGCACGCGAGGGTGGCCCGACCCAAGGGTGCGGTGGGCTAGGCCTTTCAGGACTGCACAGAAAGCACTTAACTTCGGCTCGCCTTCACCTTGCTGGAAAGCCTGCCTCTCCATCTATTGACCAGTGACCCGCATCCCCCAGGGTTCCACCTTAGACCTCACCCCACTCTCCGTGCCCCACCCCCAGAGCTTGGGCTCAGCACCCCCTGGCCAGCTCTAACAGGGAGCCCAAGGCCAGTGTTGCGCGGTGGAGTCACTGCTCCGGGTCCTATCCGCTGGCTCAGTTGCCAGCTCCCTCTTTGGAATGTTTTCTTCTAATTTTCCTTCAGCTCACTGGGGACACCCACGCAGTGCCTCTTCTAGCTCATCTCCTCAGGGCGACACAGTAGTGTCCCAGGGCCCTCCCCGTCTTGTTCTTCCACACACACTAGGTGACCTTAGATAAGACGGATGCCCCACCAGCCTGGCCGCCTTCCAGAACCCACCTGAGCGTCTCACGTGGCGTCACCACTTACACAGCTGCTAAGCATCTTACACCTAACAGGTCTGACTCAGCAGCCGCTCCCCAGACCTGGAGGCTTAATCTGAGGGCCACCTGTTTTCTCTCTCCACTCGCGACATCCAATGCAATCTCTCAGCAAGTCTTGTCTCTCTGACCTTCAGAATACCCCAAGTCTATCACAGGGAAGGGCCTGGGCCGAGGCAGGTGGTTATAGGCACCCAAACGCCATAAAAGGTGTTATCGGACAGGCCTGAGTTGAAGGGAGAGGGCTCTCCCCTCCTCGGTTCTTGTCAGTCTCACAGGAAAGAATTCAAACAAGTGACAGCAGTGTTGTATTAAAGTGAATTTATTAAAGAAGTAAAGCAAGCGAATCAATCAAAATACACCTGGCATAAAGTGCAGATGGGCTCAGCAATTCTGAGAGGTGTTGCCCCCTGGAGACTTAGCATTTTATACCCTTCTGTCTACAGGTTTTAAAATTCCTCTGCTGGGTATCTTGGTACAGACTAGATCTCAAGGTCTCCCTTTGACTTTTTTATGGCTTTCCCAGAATTTATGAGGACATCTGGAAATTGTATCTTGGCAGGTTCCAAAGCTGTTGACTTTTTTGCTCAGCAAGATAAACTCCCCTTTTCCCCTTCCCCAAGATAGCTGACTTCTTTGTTTAGTGGGTGAGATAAAACTGTCCCTCCTTGCCTTCCCTCGTTCCCACTCCTGCCTTAGCAGTTCCAGGGTGATTTAAACTGTGTTCTCTGGTTAGGGAGGAGAGGCAGTAACACTGGCTCTCCAGTCCTTGGCTGGGGAAGATGAGGGCTTGCTGCAAGCTGGTGTAAACTGCCCAAACCGTTTTTTTGTCTGTTCCCCTACTCCACTTGCTTAGAAATATTCCTAGCTTCCTACTTCCCTGTTACAAGGCCTGCCCTGGCAGTTTGAAATGTGTGGGGGTTTTTTGATTTTGTAGAGAGGGGAAGGAGACCGGTAGAGAGAAAAATCAATGAGAGGAAACGCCATCGATTGGCTGCCTCCTGCACACTCCTTGCTGGGGATTGAGCCCAGAACCCAGGCATGTGCCCTGACCTGGAATCAAACCAGTGACCTCTTGGTTCCTGTGGAATGTGTGGTTTCTTGACTTCATGCAAGAGAGATTTCAAGACACAAGTCCAGGTGATTTTGAGAGTACACTTATTAAAGCTGGGGACAGTGAGATGAAGAAGGGCTGTGGCTAGGGCCACTTACCAAGATGTATGGGCACACTGAGGCCAGTGCTGCATGTTTGAGAGATTTTAGCAAAGTCCTAAGCATGAGGCTAGAGAGGCCACTTGCATAGAAAAGCCACTGGAAAGGGCCTGGATGAGCTTGCAAGTAGGGAGGGCGGGGCCAAAGCTATGAGTCAGGTGCTGGAGATTCAGAAAGGCACCTGCCTGCCAGCTCTGTGGGAGAGGACTGGCCAAAGGAGCAATGGCCACTGCCAGCTCCTCTGTCTGTGAGAAAGCTGCCCATCCAGCTCTCACCCTGATTCCAGGCAAGTTAGTGCCTCCCCAAACGTCCCAGGTTCCTTTCAAGCTGCTGCCCAGAGCTTGGGCTCAGAGGGAGGGCGTCTGAGTAAGTCCGTGTGCAGGCCCTTGAAGAGGAGCTGCCTGGGACTCCCCCACCCTCTGTTACTCAGCCACAGTCCCCGCTAGTTTTCACAGCCCAAAGTTGTGGGGACATCTCTTCCCAGCCCTGGAAACCTGGGCTGGGATGCCTCACTCCTCCGGGAAACCTCTACTGCCAAAATAACCCTCCCAGTTTTACCCCGCAGCACCTGGGTGTGGGACCCCAGTGCATCTCCGGGATTCAGCCCCAATCCGCCTGCGTCTCTGCCCCTCCTACCAGTCTTGGTGCTTCTTCAGTTCCCTGGTTGTAGGGCTTCTGTTCAGCTAGGTTTCAGGAGGTTCTGCATGATGGTTGTTCTGTATTTTAGCTGTAATTTTGATGTGGTTATGGGAGGCAGCAGGTACCACAGTTACATATGCCACCATCTTGTCATCTCTCCCAAAGGAGATTTTTAAAGATTTATCTGCACATCTTGGTCTTTAAAAGTTGTAACAGTTCTGCCTGGCCAGTGTGGTTCAGATGGTTGGATCACTGTTTTGTACACTGAACGGTCTCAGGTTCGATCCCCATTTGAGGCACGTATGGGAGGCAACCAATTGATGTTCCTCTCTCTCTCTCTAATCAATAAAAACATAAAGATTTTAAAAAATAAAGTTGTAAGTGTTCCTACATAATGGTGAGCTGCCAGGGCTACGTACCGGCAGGTCTGCCTGGTGCACGGGTGCCTGGCCAGGTAAGCCCCAGCCCTCCTCTGTGGTCCCGGCCAGGCCGCCTCAGGCAGGGATCACTGCCTTTCTCTGGTCTGCACGCAGGCCCAAGCCAACTCCCAAATCCTGATACTCAACCCTGCCGAGTGGAAGGTAAATGAACTCTTTCAGAAAACTTCTAGACTTCTCGCCTGCACTGTTTAACCAGATTTATTAATATCCTTATTAAATAAAGTCTTAATGTTTTTGTCCAGACTGCAATGAAACTAATAAGAACAGTATCAAGCCCAATAAAACACAATGCTGATATCTCAAATGTGTCTCAAATCTCAGAGCACGTTATTACATGTTTGACCAGTTTCATCACGTAATCACAGCATCACCCAGCTTGCCTCTGAGCTGGATCAAAAGTGTCTCCCCACCTCCCGCGCAGGTTCACTGTTCACACAGGTACGTGACCACACGTCCCAGAATGCTGCGACTGTCAGTCTTCAGCTTGCTTAGCCCCTTCTCTCGCTAACCTGTCGGCTTCCTCGTTGCCTGTGAATCCCGAATGACCAGGAATGTGCATCTGTGAGACAGATTTTTTCCGTTTACTTTTGCACCCTCATGGTAAAGAATTCAACCCCAAGTGGGCTGAGAAGGTGGAAGTTCCCCCCCACCCCTCCATCGTGACACTACGCACACAGTGATGATTCCTACTACGTTTTGTCATGGACACACGCACTCAAGTTCCATTCTGATTCTCCACGGGCTGCAGCTTACTGCTTGTGTTGCTTTTCTCCACTTATAATGCATGTGGCGAGCTTTCCAGGTAGAGCACACGCGTGCACCAGTGGGTGGGTGTGCACGGACACACTGCTCTCTGGGAGTGTCTGACACTGCTTACGGGGCAGGGAACATGCTTACATGGCAGCCCACCTGCCCTCAGGGGTCCTGGCTGGCCTGCAGGGCAGGGGGAGGAAAATGGTGCCATCTAACTTGCTCTGGATTGTTTGAAAAAATAATTTCAATAAAATTGTCTATTTTAAGCAAAATACTTCCATTTTGGAAAAACAGTCATGTTACTAAGATCTTATCACATGACTTTACCAAAATGCATCATAAATGAGCACCATCTACCATGATGGCCGCTTCCAAAGAAACCAGCAGGCCGGCTGTTCACGTTGCTTTAGCAGTGCATTTGTTGCAGTGATATCCTCCTGTTACAGCCGCATTACTCACACGATGACACAGCGATCCGTATTCCAACACACAGGATGGCACTAGTTCCTGGGGAACTGTTACTTTAACATATCACTGAGTCACTCGCGGAAGCACCGTCTCTCTGGTTAGCTGAGACTGCCTGGTGCTAACAGCCCTAAGACAGGCCACTGAGCAGACACCCACGCCCTGGACAAGGACACTTACCCACCAAATGTCCATGCCCCAGACAAGACGATACTCACCCACCGAATGTCCATGTCCCGGACAAGCCTCTCCAGCTCCATGAAGTCCTCCTTGTTGATCACCTCCTTCCCGGTGCTTGTCCTCCACCCTTTCTCCTTCCACCCTTGGACCCAGTTAGTGATGCCTGGAAGAAACACACTCCCAGGCTAGGAATCGGGGACACTCTGATTCTTTCCTCCCTGGACTGCCCTCTGCCTCGCTCGCACTTGTGTTCTGAGCAGCCTTCTGGACTTTTCATTTCCTTCCCTGGGCCTCTAGCAGACCAGAAACACTCCCTTTCTCTTCCCTTCATTCTAATGGTACTCAGCCTACAATGTCACCTCCTCCAGGAAGCCTTCCCCAGCCTTCGGCATTGCTCCCTGTGCTGCTATACACAGTATTTCCCAAGGAAGCCATCAGTGCACCATCCTTAGTTACTCGCACACGCTGAGACTTGAAGTGCCCCAAAGCAGGGTCCCATCTACCTTCCCGCCATGTCTTTGGTGCCTGGCAGAGATCCCTGTGCGGCGAACACTGGAGCAGCAGACCTGGGAGTCCAGATCCTCACCTTTTCCTTTACACTTGACGGGTCCCGCCCTGGTACAGTTTCTCCTATAGGTGAAGGAAATACCTATTTCCCGGGGAACTGACTAGACAAACACTAGACCAGATAAAATATAAAAGCTTACCATTGATGGTGAACATACTATCCGTGTACAGAACCAGCTTACTGATGTTCTGGGCCTTTGCCTGTTGGATGGCTTTGCAGGCTGCCTTGAAGAGAGAAATCGGTGTCACACTACAGAAACTGTTCACCTTTCAACATCACTGATGCTCAGTTACCTCAAAATGTAAACACTCCTTCTTTCCCTGTGCTGCCTGTAATGCTCGCATTCTCCATGTGAAACATGCTATACAGACAATTCCGTGCAGACAGCTATTTGAAGTGCTTCACAGTTTCTCTCGGAAATCCCTCTCTCTCATAACTGTCACTAACCCCACACTAAGCTTCTTCTGGACTTTGAATACCTTATACATAGACAGTAAAAACTCATTAGTGTGTTCATCAATGCTAAAGAAGGAAACACAGTTTTAGTGAAAAATTACATCTGATAACTTACATGAATTTCTGCTCTTTGATTGGTTTGTCGCCCAGGAAGTCTAAGGCCTACATTTCTGGTTTCAAAATAGTGCAGAAGAAAATAAAATTATAAGCTAGTATGTTTTATTGGAAATACAAAAATATTGTATAAAACTGGCCTTTAGAAATCAAAACAACATTGTACTGAAAAGCACATGTGGTACTGCAGAAGGAACCCTGAGCCAAAGGCAAAGGGAAGTTTAATCTCTGGACTGAAACACAAGCATGAGGCCCAGGCAGGCCACGAACCTGTGGCACTCAGGAGTGCACCAGCCCGTACAGGACTCAAAACTAACCTGAGATCAAAGTGAAAGAACTTCAGACTGTACAGCTGAAGAGAAACATAGAGGGGATTTTAATAGACAGTGTACATGTACATTAAACATGCCTAGCACAGCTGTGGGCACCCATCAACACCGGGGAAGGCTGCTCCAAACTGGGGTGGGGCTGCTTCCCGCGCTCAAACCCCCTTTACACTGAATTTTAAGGCTGTGTGTTACTATTCAAGTTTTTTCATATTCACACTTCACACACCTTGCCTTTGCACCTCTCACATCTTCAGGAATCATGGTGACCCGTCCCTCTGCATCCCGTCTAAAACTACCTTCGGGGAGACGTGTGACTTAGGGCACATTTAGGTAATTTTTGCATAAAATTTTATGAGCGAGACAGACTCGTCTGGATTTAGGGCTGGGAGAGCAAGGCCAAGGTATCTCAGATTCCAGAGAACAGAGTTGTCAGGGTAGACAAGAAACAAAGCTGCTCTGCTACCCCCCTACACAGAGCTGCTCATAAACAGTCAAACTACAAGCACATCCCACCTCACTCTGCCTATGTTTCAGAATATGACCGGCTTTCTTGGTTTACTCACAAAGGATGGCCAGGCCCCCAGTAAACACCGATCCCTGCTCGGGCCCGCCTCCGCCCGTTGCTGGAGCAGCAGCCGTCAGTGTAGACAACGACATATTCTCCTGTAAGATGGAAGGAAGCTCAGGGAGTGCCGCTGGCCCCACCTCACTAGAAACTGAAATTCACCTAAACATTATTACGGTGGAAATAGCACTTTAAATTGAGAAGGTATTATATTTGGGTCCCACACAGCAGGCATATTAATATCACTCGGTAAACCCAGATCCCACTGCTGTGAGAAGTGCTGCCTACAGCCCTGCTGCAGGGGTCCCAGAACAATGCCGCTGTCCCTCTCCTTGGGGGGCAGGGGTCCTGTTCACTCCTAGGAGCTGTACGTTCAAACAGGCAGTGCCTGGCACGATGGGGACCTGCCCACCAGAAGGTCAAATCCTCTGACAAATACCGGTGTTTGTTTTTCTCAGTGTAGTTGTCACCAGTAAACTGCTGTCCCCCATCTTTGCTTCTATCAAGACAGGGTTTGGTCACCATGCCAACGTTATAAAGAGCGAGGTAGAAAAGGGCTGAGACAAGGCCACTCTCAGGCCACTGACCAGCAAGACACTCAGCAGGCCAGCAGAAGTCAGGAGCAGGGGCACAGGAGCAAACAGAAGGAACATGCGGATGAGGCCTTTCTCAAAAGGGTGGTAGACTGGGCAGAGCAGAGGCCAAGGGCAGGGGGGAAACGCTGCAGGCTGGAGGAGCGCACTTCTGGCTGGAGTGAGGCTGCGAGTGGGAGAGGGTGCAGGTGTGCAGCCTGCTCAGTTCAGCAGGACTTGATGCTACCAGATGACAGCAAACAACTGTCCTTGTCACTGAACCATTTCACCTGTGAGCACCTGTCACGTGTCAGGGGATGTGTTAGGTCACACTGGGCTTCAAGCAACTGTCAGGACACTGGAAAAGGCTCATCTCCCACCCACTCTACAAATGCTTGTTTCATTTACCACTGGTAACAACCAAATCAAGAACCTTTGGGGTTTTTTAAGAAAACATAACTGCAAAATTGATTTACACAGTTCTGAGAGCCTGAAAAACCATTTTCTAATAGTTTTCTTGGACTGAATTGTAAAATGGCTTCTTCTTGGGGAACACATGGACCCTACGAATACACTGATTTGTATTTTAAAAATGCTACTTATCCTTGTTTCCTGTTCATATTTGTAGAAGACAAAAAGGAGGCTTTACTATGAGTCAATACATATAAACAGGTGGTTCCTGGAGTTAAGGTAGAGAAGTTCATGGCTATCTTGCTCCGCAGGATAAGGCGGGACGACTGGTGTTTGCAAGGTTGACTCAGAAAGGTTAAGATGCTGGTGCTGATCCATTATAAAGGAGCTCTGTCCAGGGCCTTTCTTATGGAGGAAGCAGAAGTCTTTGCACTTTCCCTTGGTGACCTGAAATGCCAGGTTCTCAGGGAACACTGGTATTTCAAAGGGTTAGTGCCTTTTACTTGGAGCCTACAGAATGGTTTTCCTATAAATGTCCAAAATTGTAATAATTCTATACCATTTGATCAGTTACAAAATAGTCACCTTAGAGATTTTTAAATAAAATGCCTTTTCAGATAAGAATGAAGATGTTAAATATCAGCTCAAATGTCCCCCATTAAGAAAGTGGGAAAAGTTTTTACACATATAGTTCCATTATATGTTAAAAGTAAAAAAATCCAAGAAAGACACACCCATGTAGGAGAAGGTGTCCCTGCCCACTGGAGGGGCCGCCCCCACATCCTGTCTCAGGTGCTTCGCATGAGGCTCCACGTCCTGCTCTTCTGCTCTGGCCAGGGGCTCACGGCGCCGCTTGCTGGCTTTCACTTGTGATTCTTGCCCCTGTTCATTTTCCTGCCCTGAAAGAGAGTCTGCTCAGAAGCCAGAAACAATGAACCAAACACGAAACTAAGAATCCAGCGATGCAGTGTCACTTAATATCACTAACACTAAGCCAGACTCAACTACCCTCCATACGTGGCCCTGTAGAGAGGGAATGACCTCAGACAGTCCACACCACCTCAGACTTTGATGTCCTGTGAAATTACCCTAAATTCTCCACAGTAAGCTTGATGAGATGATATGAACACAAGAGCAAAGCTTCTGTTAAAAAATAAACCCGGTTTTGGTGGAGACAGCAGAGATGTAAAGGGTATGAACAGCAGAGATGTAAAGAGTTTGAAAATTGAGGGGCTCTTTCCCCAGAAAAAAACAAAGACCAAAATTCTGTATGGAAACTAGAGAATTAGAAGTGGAGCCTGAAGATGGGACTGAGCTGCTGCAATCCCGTGACAGAACTCTAACAGATGAGGTTCTTCTCATGGGTGAGCAGAGAAAGCGATTTTGTGAGATGGAATCTACTCTTGTTGACAATGCTGTGAAGATTGTTGAAATGACATCAAAGGATTTAGAATATGACAAAGCAGCAGCAGGGTTTGAGAGGACTGACTCCAACGTTGAAAGGTGCTTCTGTGGGTAAAATGCTTTCAAATGACATCACATGCTCCAAGGAAATCGTTCATGAGAGGAAGTCAGTCAATGAGGCAAATGCTACCATCTAACTAAGAAACTGCCACAGCCACTCGAACCTTAAGCAACTCCCCCCCATGGGTCAGCAGCCTTCAACACTCAGGCAAGACCCTCTCTCAGCAAAAGGATTAGGACCTGATGAGGGCTCAGATGATGGTGAGCACTCAAGTATTTTTAGCAGAAGTATGTACATTGTTCGCACACTCGAGAGACTGACTATAGCAGGGGTGAGGAAAGTCTCGCCCTCAGGCCAAATGGGTCTGGCCCTGCCAAGGCAACCGCAGGCGGGACTAGAAATTCAATAAATCTAGTAGCTTTTTTCATAGCTAATTTTTAAGTTGATAATTCTGTATGGCCCGCAAGTGATGTTAGAAATATCCAAATGGCCCTTGGCAGAAAAAACTGTTCCGCACCCTTGGACTACAGCAGAGTGTGAACATAATTTTTCTGTGCACTGGGAAACAGATCATGGACGTGCTTCACTGAGGCAGCGTGGAACTGAACCTGCACTCTCCAAGGAATGGAACAGGAGAGCTGAGTCCTGGCTTCTCTCTAACACTGTTACTGACAGGAACCACTAGGCTAAACTGCTTTCAGCCTGTCCCCTAGCCTGTAAAATGGAGAAGTGTTAACAACCGCATCTTCTCTATCTGCTCATTAGGTAGATCAAGTGGCACCTGGGACAGAGAGGGCTGTAAACAGGTTACAGTGGCACCTAGGGCAGGAAAGGCTGTGCACAGGTTACAGTGGCACCTGGGGCAGGGAGAGCTGTGCCCAGGTCACAGCGGCACCTGGGAAAGAGAGGGCTGTGCTCAAGTCACAGCGGCACCTGGGACAGAGAGGCCTGTGCCCAGGTCACAGCGGCACCTGGGAAAGCGAGGGCTGTGCCCAAGTCACAGCGGCACCTGGGACAGAGAGACCTGTGCCCAGGTTACAGCGGCACCTGGGGCAGGAAGGCCTGTGCCCAGGTTACAGAGGCACCTGGGGCAGGGAGGGCTGTGCCCAGGTTACAGTGGCACCTGGGGCAGGGAGGGCGGTGCCCAGGCTACAGTGGTGTGAGCGGTGACTACCTTCTAAACCACCGGCGCGCGCAGAGTTCCTGACGAAGGCCCAGGCTTCCTCTTCGGTGGCAAACTTCTTGAAGCGCGCGGCAGGAAAGCGGTCCACCTGCGCTCGGCACTCGTCCCTGGAACAGAGCGCCGCCTGACTCGCCGCCCCGCCCCGCCGCCAGGGGCGCTCTTCCCAGGCCCTGGGGGGATTGCGAGCCCCCCCAGCGGCGTCG